CACACCCAACAGGTCGGCAGCCAAATAATATTTGAGTGCCCCTTCTTACTGTTCGAACCTTGACTGGACGGTGTGGTTTTAAATTAACTGTTAAACTCAGTGAAACTAGTATATGGTGTGGTTTTATATTAACTCTTAATTTCGGGCTGAATTTTAACTAGTATTTGGTGTGCTGTTTTGACGTTGAATATTAACTAGTATATGGTGTGCTGATTTCAAATTGAATATTAATTAGTATAATATTATGGTGTTCTGCTTTGAAGTTGAATATTAACCAGTATGTGGTGTGCTGATTTTACGTTGAATAACAACTACTATAATAATAATAATATGGTGTGCTGATTTCACGTTGAATAATAACTGGTGTGCTAATTCACATGAAATATTAACTGTTGTGTTGTTACCAAGTTGAATACTAACTAATATACGGTGTACTGATTTCATACTGAATATTAAATGGTGTGCTCACTTCACATTAAATATTACTGGTGTGCTGATATAACGTTGAATATTAACTGGTGTGCTGATATAACGTTGAATATTAACTAGTATAGTGTGTGCGGTTTAAACGTTGAATATTAACTGGTGTCCTGATATAACGTTGAATATTAACTGGTGTCCGGATATAACGTACACCACGGGACACAAACAACTAGTAATATATTGTGAATGAACTATAACCGTGTTATTAGAAAACTCTATCAGGAAGAAAAGTTACATCACCATGGATACCATCATTTATTTATTATTTTTAACAACAGGTATTATGGCAGGTAGCACTAATGTCGGTGTTAATAATTTGATTTACGTCCACATTTTTGTAAGACTGTCACCCTTCCGTAATCAGTAAACTAGTTAAGGTTACTAACAGGAGGATGAAAAATATCCTTTGTCTTTATAACCGTAAGTTTGGTCCACTATACTTATAACAGGCTATAAAAATCCTGTGTGAGATAACTCTTATATCGATATTAACAATTTGGGATACGTCCACGTTCACTACACTTAATTTTAGTATGAAAATGAAATGAAATGGAGTTTAACGTCCTACAGTTCTGCTCCTAACCTGGGCTAATGAAGACGGGCATACGCCATACAGTCTGCTATGAGGGAAATTTTGCCCGAACAGCGGCACTACGGCCTACTCTTACTACACTTAGTAATAGGCTGTAAAATCCAAACCAAACCCAACTACCACTAACCTAATTTATTAATTACGAGTAATTATGTGGAAATCCTACTCATTTCCATCTACCTGCACTCCCACACTTTATGGATTATTTCTGTAGAAGTCCTTCCACCCAATCCTTATTTACACCTCTAAAATCCAACCCACCAAAACCACCACACTTTATGGATTACTTCTGTAGAAATCCTACCAACCAAAGCTTATGTACACCTCTATATGGGATATGATTATATCGTCACGTTACTTCTTTGCTCATGTTGTAGTGTTGTTTCAAACCCATTATTACGCCGGTGTCTGATCGTATATGTGGTATATCATATCGTCACAGAACTTCATAATGCTGTTTCAACCCCGCTGTCTTGTCGTATACCATAGACATCAAACTACAAGAAATACGTTACACCACCGCTAACGAAGAGGCAGACAATTAATTTCAGAACACATTTTACTCCAGTCGCCCATAACTCGGCTGAAATTCTAATAATTACAGTGTGATAAGTTATAACTACATATTATTTATCACTTAATAAATTAACCATATCCTATTGATGCTGTTTCAAACCCATCTGTATTATTATGCCACGGTCTTACCCTATACCATAGATCTCAAACTACAATAACCAACTGTAAAGAAGGGGCAGACAATTCGAAACGCATTTAACTTCAGTCGCTCACAACTCGGCTGAAATTCTGAAGGGAAATGGGGTGTGTTAAAACTGGATATTATATCCTATTGATGTTGTTTCAAAACCATCTCTTTTATTGCGTCACTGTTTTACCGTATAGCATTACTTCACCAGTCGCTTTTCGCCGGGGGGGGATGGGTCAACTGGTGTGGTTTCGATTCCCCGGTTGTATGTGACACTGAATAGGGTCGCCTGTGCAATCTCGTGGGTTTTCTCCGGATCCTCTGGTTTCCTCCCACATGACTCCTAAGCCCAAGCGAATTGTTTAAATACAATTGGACTATGTGTTAGTCCCACAATGACCTAGTTTGTGTCTAGTGGACGTTAAACCACCTCTCTCTCTCTCTCTCTCTCTCTCTCTCCGCTATTAATTAACATCGGTGTTAATAAAATTGGATATGACAGAAATAGTCTAATTTAGTTTGCCCTCAAGATCAGATCAGCTTGTACAGAACAGTAGGATTTCATTTCAGTTATAGCCATAAAATAACGTATTTATTTTTCATTCCAGCAGTGTTTGTTATTGTTGATGCTGAGGTCACGTATGGTTGCTATAGACAACCAGAATCACCATGTTCACAACATACTCTAACTTGTACAGATGATCACGTTATAAGAGTAGTTGAAATTGATAAACATAGAATGGCATATGGCAGAAAAAATCCCGTATATGAATGCCTTCAAGATGAGATGGAAATATGTAATGCTACATGTTGTAGATACCAAGGACGCAATGAAGATCAACCTAGTTTTATACAAGTTAACCAAAAAGATCGTTTATCAGTTTATAGAAACTGTTCAAATAAACCAACTTGTACCGTCACATCTCCTTACAGTAACGATACTGATTATCATTACATATACTACCCATATAATTGTATTCCAGGTAAGTCTTCTATACACTGTAATACATTACACATCTCATGACAGCCCTGACACTGATTATTTTCCAGGTTAGTCGTCTATATACAGTTGTGCATTACACAGTTTCGATACTAGTCTTGTCTAATACCGCTGTGCATTTGACAATAATTATGATTAAAAATATAAACTGAAGCATGTGAAGCATGCTGGTGGTTTTAATGCATCACCTCTTACTGGCTCAACGACAGTACTCATCAATACACACACCGCCATTTTGATTGTGGTGTTTAGTATCTCTAAATATCATTTACGTGTCTTCATTAGCCCTATCTGTTCAACAGATTAAGAAATTAAAACCCATTTTTTTAAATTCATTTCAGTTGCAAAGATGTACAATATGATGGAGACCACTGATGTCAGTATTCGATATTATGGTTATTTATATTACTCTGGGAAAACACAAACTACAGGTACAACAATTACTAGATGTTGTAATATAACAAGTCCTGAACATATACAGATGGAAAGTGCCTACATTTATCTGACAGAAGAATCAAGTTACAACGTGAAGATGTATTCGGAGAACGAAACTTTATTACGCTGTGCAGATGAAAGTGGTGTTTTCTATGGTTTTGGAGAACTGTCAATTTCTGTAGGCAATATTTACCAAGTGGTACTTGACAACTTAACTATTAAAGAAGATGATTATATCTGGTTAAGAATACGAGCAGGTTAGAATGAATTGAATGTTATAAGAGTTCTGTGAGCTAACCCTTTTCTCAGTAAAACTTTATTACTCGACCTTGCAGCTGGAATGTCCAGCGTTTCAAGCCCAGCATGGGCCAAGCAGACTTAAAGTATTTCATGTTAAATATTGTGTCGTTTATATGGAAGGGAAAACACTCGTGTTCCTTTATAGCTGAAAGACCCAGGGGCGTAGCGTCCATTAAACATGCCAATGTGTTTGAAATCACCTCCGGTTGAATAAAATCCATTGCACAATTAAATATCCAAACCAAAACAAAAGTTCTCGCTTGAAAAGTCAATGTTTTTGCTTGTATTTTCGACAGTGTCTATCGCAACATTACACATGTCACGTCATGAGCTAAACCATCATAATATGTTGAAGGGGGTAAAGGTTGAATCACGTGTGTTGTAATCACAACAGCGCACGACCGTTTCGATTTTTTGAGTTTGGGCAACACAATAGCAACTGAGACAAAGACATTGATTTGGAAACAATTGATTGTCAGTCTACTAAATTTTATTCACAATGAATATATCACCAATTATACGAATACTCGTAAATATAATATTGTTTTTCACCCCTGTATATATATTATTGGATACATTGCCTTGTGAATTTCAAAACAAAGCCGGGAATTTACAAAATAATTGTGTTACCGATCACGTACGATTATAAATTTTTCTAAACAGTCTTTTGCACACCGGAAATAATATTCAGAGCGAAATAGAAAGGAACTGAACAATCTGCCGATAATTAATCCGGTGTGCGGTATGATTAATTGTTGGTAATTATTTGCTTGAAAACGATATCTGTATGTGTATCGAAACGTAGCATGTTAATAAATTCAGAAGTAGTATATCCATATAAGTGTGTTTTATTTTTAGTGAAATCTATTTCTATATGTCTTATAAGGATTATATTTTTATATGACAGGTGTAAATAAAATCTATATAACCTGTGGTGATTGTTTGTCTCCTTTTACTGCTTCATGTGAGTATATGAAATAAACTTACTTCTCTTATTTCAAAAACAAATGTTCTAAAAGAGCTGTTCATTTCTACATCACCCAATCATGGAATAAGAATAAGTGAAACAACTCATTTTTTATTGCCGATCAGGTGTCTAATTGTCCTGTTCAAGAACTGTGTACACTACGCTAGACTACATGATAAAATGGCGGAAATACCAATGAGTATTCTTATGCAATGACCTAATGCATCAACCATTGCAGGTAACAACGCTGGTGGTGGCTTAAATATATGTCTAACTGATGGTACAATATCTATCTATCGACGCAATATCTCTCTCTCTCTCTCTCTCTCTCTCTCTCTTTCTCTCTCTCCTTTGTTCAATGGCTTATGCTTTCAACTTTATCTGATCAAGGAATCAGAATATGTAAGTGCCTGAGTGACGTCGTTCAGATACTGGATTGCATATTTTAATTCTATGACCTGATATATCAATCATTGCAGGTACTGATACAAACAGCAAGAAGTCGCCAAATGAAGAGACTTCTAAAGATAAAGATAATAACAATGATTGTGGTAACACAGGATTAACAGTTGGCATAATAGTGGTATCTTTACTTCTAATCATAACATGGTCTATTGTTGGTGTGTATTGCATCCGAAGGTGTGTATCGATATGTATTGTATCATATGGTGTGTATTGTATTAGGTGGTGTGTATTTATATTGGTGGTGTTTATCTAAATTGGTGGTATGTATCTCTATTGGTGGTGTGTACCTATATTGGTGGCGTGTGTTTATTTTGGTGGTATGTATTTATATTGGTGGTGTGTATCTATATTGGTGGTATGTATCTATATTGGCGGTGTGTATCTATATTGGTGGTATGTATCTCTATTGGTGGTGTGTACCTATATTGGTGGCGTGTGTTTATTTTGGTGGTATGTATATATATTGGTGGTATGTATCTATATTGGTAGTGTGTATCTATATTGGTGGTGCGTATCTATATTGGTGGTATGTATCTCTATTGGTGGTGTGTACCTATATTGGTGGCGTGTGTTTATTTTGGTGGTATGTATTTATATTGGTGGTATGTATCTATATTGGTAGTGTGTATCTATATTGGTGGTGCGTATCTATATTGGTGGTATGTATCTCTATTGGTGGTGTGTACCTATATTGGTGGCGTGTGTTTATTTTGGTGGCGTGTGTTTATGGTATGTATCTATATTGGTGGTGTTTATCTATATTGGTGGTGTGTATCTATATTGGTGGTGTGTACCTATATTGATGATGTGTATCTATATTGGTGGTGTGTATCTATATTGGTGGTGTGTATCTATATTGGTGGCGTGTATCTATATTGGTGGTATGCATTTATATTGGTGGGTTTTTTTAATTAATATTGGTGGTTTTTATCTATACTGGTGGTGTGTATCTATATTGGTTGTGTGTATCTTTATTTATTAATGCTGTCTATCTATAGCTGTCTAATGGACTGACTGTACATGTGCTGATAAAATAATAATAATGGTGGTATTATTGCAGATGGTATGATATTTTGTAGCTTTACATCTAACATGGTTCATTCATGGTGTGTATATCAGAGGATTGTTGTATCAAGTGTTGTCTATGTATCAGGTGGTGGTGTATATTGTATCAGGTGGTGGTGTATCAGTTGGTGTGTATTTTATTAGGTGATGTATATTGTATCAAATGGTGTGCATTGCATTAGTGGTGTGTATTGTATCTGGTGGTGGCGTGCATCAGGTGGTGTGTATTGTATCAGGTGGTGGCGTGCATCAGTGGTATGTATTGTACAAGGTGGTGGCGTGCATCAGTGGTGTGTATTGTACAAGGTGGTGGCGTGCATCAGTGGTGTGTATTGTACAAGGTGGTGTGTATTGTAACAGATGATGTGTATTGTATCAGATGGTGTGTATCGATGTTGGTGGTCTTTGACTGTTGAGATCAGGTCCGCCATAAAGAAGGAGAGGATTAATGGGTTATTTAGTACTGATGATGCTAAATTTAAAACTGATCTATCAAATGAATAATGTATTTTGTTCTTCAGGAAGATGGAACGAACACAGTTTTCGCTAGGTGATCGACAAAGTGCACGTGTTGTAAATACAGTGGACACAATTACGCCGTATACAGGTTTGGTGAACAACGGTGGACCAGAACACGATTATACAGGTCTGGTGAATAACGATGAATCAAACTCCGGCTATATAGACATGGCGAACCGGAACGGACTAGATACCGTGAACAGCAGTGAACCGGAACACGGCTATATAAACAGACCAGATTCCGTGAACAGTGGCGAATCAGAAAACGGCTATACAGTCATAATAAACCAGGCCGGACTATATACTGTGAACAGTGACAAATCAGAACACGACTGTAAGGCCATGGTGAACCGGAACGAACTAGATATCGTGAACCGCGGCGAATTAGAACACGGCTATATAGTCATGGTGAACCAGACCGGACTAGATACCGTGAACTGCGGTGAACCGGATCATGGCTACATAAACGTGAATAAGGACAGGTCAGATACCATGAACAGCGGCGAATCAGAACATAGCTATATAAACACGGGGAACCGGAGCAGATCTGTTACCATCAACAGCAGTGAAGCAGAAGACGGTTATATGACCATGATGAATAGGAACTGGTCTGATACTGTGAATGGCGGTGAACCGGGACATGGCTATATAAACATGGTGAATATGAACGGATCAGATACCCTGAACAGCCGTGATTCAGAATACGATTATATAGACATGGCGAATAGGACAGGGTCAGATACCCTGAACAGTGGTGAACATGAGCACGGCTATGTAGCCATGGTGAATTTGAACGGATCATTTTTCCTGAACAGCGGTGAACCAAAACACGGATCAGATACCACTGTTAATTATGAAACCACTTTAGGTGACATTAATGAGAAGAAGGCTGAGGACAATACCTCCTCAGTGTAATAAGTTAAACGTCTTACAAACACAATTAGGACAGACCCTGTTCCTGACGCAGGGTCATTGTAATGGATTTTATTTTTATTTTTTTACAAAAAAACGCAAAAATGACATAAACTGAATAAACATCGTACCCCCCCCCCCCCCCAACTCGGCTCACCCGCAACATCCCCCCCCCCCAAAAAAAAACCCCAAACAAACCCAAACAGACACACGCGAGATTTCACAATACTATCTGATGTCGACAGGCACGAGTGGATGTTTATATACACATTTGAAAACTGCATTTGTGTCTACGTGTTTTGTTGAATGCGTAACACCGAAATGTTTTGATCTTTTTAGGTGTAATATTTAAAATTCATGAATAACGTAATAAATTGTAACCAATGATTGAAGACTTATCCCCTTATATGTTTTACTGAATTGAAATAGAAACCGAAAGTAGATGAGCATCCCTTGTAGGATGGGGAGGGGGCCGCGTCTGGTCGTTCATATCGGATGACAAACTATATGACGCATGCTCATCATTATTATTAGCTTGAAAAGAGCAGAAAACCCCATTTCAGTTCATTTCATTGTGTTTTATTGAACACAATAGCTGTTACCTATCTACAGTTATACATGTCATGTATCTACTACGACCGTACGATCCAACGTGTAACTCTTATTATGGCGTACAATATACTACGTGTATCTGCTACCACCAGTTATATATGTCATGTATCTATCCCTGACCGTAAGACACAACGTGTAACTCTTATGGCGTACGATACACCACTGAGTTAAACATGACAAGTATTTATTACAGATTGTAAGACACCTGGGACATCTTTCTGTTGCTCTGTGAATCTGTTATTGGCGGCTCTACATGACATGTATCTGAAGCAGTCAAGAGCCATTAACTGATACTATCATATTTCAATTTTTGTTAGCGTAGGACGTTTTCATTTCTATATAAATTAAATGAAATGAAATGGAGTTTAACGTCCTACTGTTCTGCTCCTAACCTGGGCTAATGAAGACGGGCATACGCCATACAGGGAAATTTTGCCCGGACAGCGGCACTACGGCCTACTCTTATATCGAATTCCAACTGCCAAGGGATCTTTTACGTGCACGCCAATGTGTACACGGGACCTCGGTTTTTCGTCCCATTCGAACGACTAGACAGCTTTCCTTGTCAGCCCCTCCGTCCTGCATCACTGACAAGGGAGAACCACGCCATTTCTATATATATTAAACATGTATTATATATCTTATCATAGAAGTCTATAGTGTTATGTTCTCTAGTCATCATTTTGTTTAATACCTTAATTGTCCGTACCTTTCTAACCATGATAATTATATAACTGTTATATTAAAGAACGGATAACTCATACCTCTTCAAATGATTTATATAACTAGTAAATAATTATTATTATGTAATGATTGATGTTTTGTGACATATATAGTGTAACCAATATATACATTGTACTTTTATAATCAATATGATACTGTGTATTAGTCACGAGTATGCTCTTATGATTTGAATTTTTGAATACAATTTTTGTAAACCGCCAGAATGAATAAATGTCTCTTATAGATACATAATGCTGGCTAGAATTTACACTGTAGGTAGGGTGACCCATGCACCTACAGAAATACAGTCAACCGCTGATAGTTCGAGACTACCACTGAAGCGTGCACATTCGCCGTGTCGAGGCCAGCTTTCTGACAGTATGATACTATAAATAGCCATGGCACGTGCAATTCTCTACAAATCTATCAACTATTACAGCCGTAAAAAATTTATTGTTGACGATTTTGAATAGCAGTAAAATTAAGCTTCTTGGTTATTACGGCAGATTTAGAAATTACGTTCGTTTCATTTTTTAAATCGCTTTATCATTAACTGTACCGTTAAGAGCGGCATCTTTTGGTTTAGTACAAATAATATCTCTGAAACACTCGGGTTAGACAGGAACATGATACTAGCAGTAGTTTCATTTTACTTTTACAAGGTTCTTAAAACAATTGTTGAGCTAGCTAACGTGCTCATTTCTAAATTCAATTTCTTGTTCTAGCTTTCTGTTATGTTAGGGTGACCCACCATAAATAAATATCCCCAAATATCTCGACAATTACGCCACAATATTTATATATATGCCAAGCCTCAAATCAGTTTCACACAATTATAGTCACTAAATAAACGATCATGTTGTACTTAATAAGCTATGACCATTAATCATCTTTAAATAATAGACTGAAAACTGGTTCCAAGTTGCGTCCATAACATCCAGACACTTTTGAGTAAAATATAGGTTACGTGCCCTTGTTTTGAAATTAGTCTCGCTTAACCAGTCTATCGACCATTCTACGTCTGATTGACAGGTCGGGATAATCAAGACTACTTTTTTACGAAACATAACATAAAGCTAGAACAAGAAATTGAATTTAGAAATAAGCACTTTAGACAACTCAACAATTGTTTTAAGAAACTTGTAAAAGTAAAATGAAACTACTGCTAGTATCATGTTCCTGCTAAAGAAAGTGATTCAGAGATAGTATTTGTACTAAACCAAAAGATGCCGCTCTTAACGGTACAGTTAATGATAAAGCAATTTAAAAAATAAAACAAACGTAATTACTAAAGCTGCTGTAATAACCAAGAAGCTAAATTTTACTGCTATTCAAAATCGTCAACAATAGATTTTTTACGGCTGTAATAGTTGATATATTTGTAGAGAATTGCACGTGCCATGGCTATTTATCGACTCAAAGCGAGTGCGGGGTAGTCAGAAATCAGTTCGAGACACGCAACTGAAGCGTGCACATTTAGCCGTGTCGAGACCAACTTTCTGTAAAGTGCACGGGTCATCCTAGTTATGTTTCGTAAAAAAAGTAGTCTTGATTATCCCGACCTGTCAATCAGACGTAGAATGGTCGATAGACTGGTTAAGCGAGACTAATTTCAAAACAAGGGCACGTAACCTATCTTTTACTCAAAAGTGTCTGGATGTTATGGACGACACATGGAACCAGTTTTCAGTCTATTATTTATAGATGATTAATGGTCATAGCTTATTAAGTACAACATGATCGTTTATTAAGTGACTATAATTGTGTGAAACTGATTTGAGGCTTGGCATATATATAAAGTTTGTGGCGAAATTGTCGAAATATATGGAGATATTTATTTATGGTGGGTCATCCTACTGTAGGCTAGCCGTTGGGCTTGCGGTCGGTTATCAGCGGTAACGTCGCTGAAATTCTCAAGCTACGTTCCGAAGGCTTATTACCTCCTCTCACGAAAGTGGTCCTTGCGCGTTCTGTTTAGAGAGTACGGGCGATCTATGATTTCCCGCAAAAGACAAGTTGGCAAAATCAAGAATAAGTAAAGACACTTTAATAGTACAGTGAACGCTGTTCACCCCCCAAAAAAGACAGTTAACAGAAATAAACGCATTAAAGCTGTAAATACTGATATACATGTATTTAGAATTTGTTGTTACATAAAGGTTTGAAAACTGAACGAGTCTGTCTAATTCCTACGGTGAAGCTTATCTTAATGTTAGCAAAACACCGTTACTGACCACTTTTTAGCTAGTCCGTACACGCCCTTCCGAAGTTCCGCTTACTGGTGTCTCGTGATCAGCCAGGAATTGATCATTGGTGGCATAGATACAAAGCTCCCCATACCCCAAACGTGGTTATTCCTTCAAGGAAATGTTACATTATCGTTTAATTCATAATCGTGAAGCCGTAGGGATTGAGTTGCATCTAAAAAAAATCACAAATTTCTTATTGGTTACTTTTATCGGAAACCTACTGCAAACGTCGATTATTGGAATTTAATAGAAGAGAGTCATTGCACATGAAATGTGTGGTAACCTGATATCTCAGAAATAGCTAACCCGAAGTGGTTCAAATTGTTGCTACTCTGAGATATTATTAATGTTATGATAATCTGCAAGTTTCATTGAAATCAGTTGGCCATTGCAGTCTGCAGCCGTGCCACATGAAATGAGTGGTAACCTGATATCTCAGAAACCGCTAACCGGAAGTGGTCGAAATGTTGGCTACTCTGAGATATTACTAATGTTATCATATTCGGTGAGTTTGCTGGATATCGGTTCATAATTGCGGTCTGTAGTCGGGTTACGTAAAATGTGTGGTAACCTGATATCTTGGAAACCGCTAAACGGAAGTAGCCGAAACTCTACCTAGACTGAGATATTTTTAATATCATTATAATCTGCAAGGTTCATTGAAATCGGTTGGTAATTGCGGTCTGCAGTCGTGCCACATGAAATGTGTACTGACCCGATATCTCGGTAACCGCTTACCGGAAGTGGCAGAAACGTTGCCTACTCTGAGATATGATTACTGTTATCATATTCTGTAAGTTTCTGCAGACGTGCCACATGACATGTGTGCTAACCTGATACCTCGGAAACTGTTAATTGGAAGTGGCCGAAACTTTGCCTACTCTAAAATGTAATTATAATCTGCAAGTTTCGTTGACATCGGGTGGTAATTGCGGTAGTTGAAAACGAAAATGGTCCACTATGTTTTATGCATAAGTTACCTATGTTCCATATATTAGTTACCTATATTTCATACATTAGTTACCTGTGTTCCATACATTAGTTACCCCTGTTTCATATAGTTACCTATGTTTCATACATTAGTTACCTATGTTTCATACATTAGTTACGTGTGTTTCGTACTTTTGTTACGTACGTATGTTTCGTACCTTAGTTACGTATGTTTCGTACCTTAGTTAAAATAATAGAAAACATGATTAAGTACATATGTAGTAATATTTTTTAATCCTTAAAGACGTATGATGATGTGACAATATAATCTTGATCAAATTCTCTAGGATCTTTAGATAAAACCAAATCCGATATTTCTTTAAAAAGTAATTCACAAATCTGTAATTTCTGTTCCTCGTCCCGTTCGACATCCAGTGCAGAATGAAAGGTAAAGTAACCGTGTGTTTTTGAATATTTCGTACACTCGCGTGCGAAAGTTTCTCTGTCATCTGTGCCTGTGGATTATAAATAAAGAATGGTTATAGAAGGTTATAAATGGGGTTTTACGTCCACTCGACACACACTAGGTCATTTCGC